ACATTTTCCTAGGAACAGGCTTTCTGCAGAACTGGGGAGCCAGTTCAAGAAGGGGACCTTCAGCTGGGTCACAACGATTCCTTAAAACTGAGCTTTGTGCCTGGCCAGTCCTCTAAAAACAAATAGTGGGTAGGTGATTTTTGCTTTTTATTTCTCAGTACTAAATCAGAATCAGTTATTTTTCCTCTAAGTACACAAAACCCACATTCTGAGCATTTCTGCAACAACACTCAGTCATAGTTTGACAGCATTTTAAAATTACAATCTTACTGTTTTAATTGTCGTATAAAGAGGTGGAGATATGCATCAGACTCACTTGCAAATTAAAAATTATGTCTGCAAGAGGCAGCTGTTGCAGGGGGAGGAATAAGTCAAGATAGAGTCGTACAATCAAAGAATGGTTAGGATTGGAAGGGACCTTAAGGCTCATCCAGTTCCAGCCCCCCTGCCACGGGCAGGGACACCTTCCACTAGACCAGGTTGCTCAAAGCCCCATCTGACCTGGCCTTGAACACTGCCAGGGATGGGGCAGCCACAGCTTCTCTGGGCAACCTGTGCCAGTGCCTCACCACCCTCACAGTAAAGAACTTCTTCCTAACATCAAATCTAAACCTACCCTCTGTCAGTGTAAAGCCATTCCCCCTTGTCCTATCACTATATGCCCTTGTAAAAAGCCCCTCTCCGGCTGTTCTCTAACCCCCATCTAGGTACTAGAAGGCTGCTACAGAAGCTGAATATGCCTGTGGAGATGTCTTTCCATTTTGTCAGGCAACAGACAGGGAAAGACAGTCATCATCTGCTCCCTCCCAGCCCAGTACCATTCAGAGACCAGAATCCCTGGCCATTCTCTTGTAGGCTGGGAGAGCCATTAAAATCTGTCCTCTTTTGGAATGACTTGTTCACAGATTTTGTTATCCATGTTACCCATGAAACTGAATTTCTTACACAAAGAGTGCTTCCCATTCACTAGACTACAAGGAAAAAAAGTAAATAAAAAATGAAATCCTAGGTAGAAAATAAGTTTGGAAGAGAGCCAGTAGCTCCAGAAAGCAGGGGTGACAGCTGAATTGCCAACCGGGGATGGAAAGACCAAGCACAGTGATTTAAGGAAAAAAACAACAACAAAACCCAAACAACAAAAAGCCCAACTGCAACCAACCAAGACCTGTTTTTCTCTAGTAGCTGATTAGCAGTAGCCTCAACAGGAAAACAGAGGCATCTTTCTGAAGCAAAGCAATAGCACAGCAGGGTCCTCTCAAGTCTCATCATGTAGTTGTGGTGAGGGACCTCCTTTAAGTTCAGGAAAGGACTGTGACCCTAACACGTGTTAAAGTCTTAAAGCTCATGTGCTGATCCACGTGTTGGATTTCTGACTGCATGAGTAAAGCTAAGATGCACTGCCCTGATAATGATCTGCTACTGGGAACACCTTTGGACTTTTGACTCTGTTGCTTAAGCAGCAGTCACAGACACATCTTGTTACCAGGCACAAGGGAGTTTTCTGACATGTTTCGCCATTTATACTGTAACATAATACTGCACTGTACTTGATTCATATGGACCTCTCCAGTGAGAAGCGTCCATTCGAGATACTCCTGGACCAGATGATTTTTTTCAAAAGCAGAGAGATTATGGATAATTATTTCCTGCTGCCCATTCTGTGTCTTTTTTATTCCTCTCAACAAACAGACAGTGTTTGGTATATGAGTAAGAAATGTAGTGTAACAGAAAATATGCTAGAAAGGAAATGATTACTAATCGCAGCTTTTTGCCTAAGACAGCTAAAATGACCTGTTTCCTCAGCTCATCAGCTGAGCAAACTACTGACTTCAAGATGTGAGAAACCATCCTTGTTCTCTGATTCCAAACACAATTTTGTTTTTGTAATGAACTCGAGGAGCAAACATGACCTGGCTGGAAGAGAAGCACACAAGAACCACATTCATCCCATAAACAGAAGACACGAATGGGAATCAAACAGACAAAACTAAACCATAGCCTAAGAGTTTATTAAATAAGTTTAATGATTTTATTATACATCAGTTAGGTTAACATGTGCCGAGGACATTCCAGTAAATGTTAGGAGGTAAAATGTAAACTACTCTTAAAATGAACTGTTCTAGTGCTTCAGGCAGCAGGAAGATAGAAAGTTCACCAGAGCTCTCAAGTGACCCATCCCATGGAAATTAATTACAGATGTCAGGGGCCTGATTCATTATCTACTGGAGTTGAAAAGTATCAACTACCTTATGGACACATAACAAACCCCACACTGGATACGCCTCACACTCCATTAAACTACTTGGGTGTATCAGTATTTCCAGGACTGAACATAACTTTGGGACAAAGTAATTAATCACTATGTACGCTTTATAGTTAGCACTGTGAGCCACATACTCAGTGTCCAAATGTTTTGATTCAGGAAATTTAATTTTGTGGTGGTTTGTTTTTGCCAGGAAGGGTAGTCTCAAACATCAACTCACCTGAGAATTTCAAATGGCAAGTGAAAATCATGTATTTACAAGTGGCTCTGAGGATTCCCTTTTACTTTTCTCTGACTCATGAACAGCACTAAAGGTTTCTTTCCCTAAAAAAAAAAAAAAAAAAAAAAAAATCCCTCTGAACTGAAACAAAACAGGGACACCTTACCAGGAAAATATGCAAAAACATGGAGTTATAAACAATATTCTTCCATAATTCCAGTTACAAGTTGTTCTTAGACCCATGGCAACGTGGAATGACCTCACTCGCAGTGAAATCTAGTCCTATTGGAAAGAAAAGTTACTGGCAGTAATGTTATCTAAAGCCAAATACAGTCTCCAGAACACAGAATTTAATATTGAATTAAATGTCTTTGAAATATAGCCAGCCTTATCTTCAAAAGCCATGAGACTTGCTCCAAAGAAAGGGATGTACTACACAGGTTTTCTACATATTTCTACAATTTACATGTAAGCGATGTTTAAATAAGCTGGTAATTCAACTCACTGAAAGCAAACAAGTAAAACAAGGTGCTGACATAAGGCCCCTGAACCTACAGGAGAGTTTCTGCTTTTGTCCAACTTTAGTGTGGTTAGTTGGAGACCGAATGTTCCCCACCACAGATGTGGCTTGAAGTTGTCTGATGGACCAACCACTGGTCCATCTGGAGATGATTAGAACTTACTTAGGGTGATGAAGATTTGGTGCTGTTAAATCAAAGATGTACTTAGGCAATCACAAACAAATCCTGCGTCCCTCCTCCCAGTTTATTGTCCTCTCCTGCTTGCACTGCCCTGTTCCACTGTCTCCAGGACACCATGCCCATGGCGTTTTAAGTAATCGACAGGATGAAGGCAAGTCTGCACTGTCATAACTGAGTTTGCTTTTGTGCACCCACAAAGAAGGTTGTGTCAGCTTAAGGGCTGCTAAGTAAGACAAACTCTAGCTGCAGAGGGGAAGAAAACCTCCAGCAACAGCTGGGGCTGACTTTGTTCAGTCACTTTGGGAGCCAGGGGCTCTCACACTCCCACCCCACAGCCTGTCATCTGCCCATCAGGGTTTTTTAGAGCTCATCTCCTGTTAACTCTCCAAACCATATGGAATGGCTCTTGGTCACAGGAATATTTCAGTACAGGAGTGTTTGGATAAGGGAGGCTTTCTACCACTCCTCTGCTGGCCACTGCCTTTCTGAGGATCAGATACAGGTATCTAACTCCCCATGGGTCTTCCACCTTCCTGAAATACTTGGCAACCTTCTCTGAAGGTGGCAAAGGGACACCACAAACCTAAATGCCCCAGAGAAACTCAACTACAATGAAACCCTTGAGATCCCCTGAGTGAGTCTGAAAAAGCTGAGAAACTTACACAGTGTGTTCAGAAGGGGGATGATTGGTTTCTCTTCCCCACTCTGTAAGCTGACAAGGGCCTCATGGTGTGGTCAAGGTTGTGGGTCAGAACATAACCTGAGTGCCCAGTCAGGCAGGACCCTCATGGAAGCTGCCTTGCAGCCACATATGCAGTCCTTTGTCCACAACTCAGGCAGAGACTTAGAAAAACAAGGATGCTGCATTCATCACTTGTTTATTTCAGGTGTTTGATCAGAATAAATTATTAGGAACCATTATTAGGACAAATATTAAGAAGAAGGAAAAAAACCAAACCAACCCAGGGTAGATTTATATTAGATATTAGGAAGAAATTCTTTACAGTGAGGGTGGTGAGGCACTGGCACAGGTTGCCCAGAAAAGTTGTGGCTGCCCCATCCCTGGCAGTGTTCAAGGCCAGGTTGGATGGGGCTTTGAGCAACCTGGTCTAGTGGAGGGTGTCCCTGCCCATGACAAGGCGTTGGAACTATGTAAGCTTTAAGGTCCCTTTCAACCCAAACCGATCTACGGTTCTGTGATTCTAGAAGAAGAGCCGTGGGTCGGACATCCTGCTTAATGCCTTGCCAAGGATCCCCACCTCTCCTATAGCTACTCAAGTGCCTTACTGCCCAAGAGGCCCCATGCCCACCTTAGAAAAGGCCGTGCCCTGCCGCCGGCGGCGAGGGTCACTCAGACGGGGATCCTTCCTGCGCCCACCGGGACCCACCGCTGCGGGCTGTGCGTCTCGGCAGGTGCCCGGCCCAGCCCGGCCGCCGGCGCTGCGAGCGGGGGGCGCAGCGCGGCCGCTCAGGCGCCAGGAGGAGCCGCTCGGTGCCGCTCTTTCCCCCTCCGCGGCGGCCGGCGGCAGCCGGTCCGTGTGCTGAGCGTGTGTCAAACCCACGTGCTCCGGCAGCCCGCGCCGGGGAGCGGCGACCGGCGCCTGGGCCCCGCACCGCGCATCGTCGACAGGCACAGGGACCTGCACCGGCGGCGGCCCGACCCGCACCGCGGCACCGCGGCCTGCAGCAGCACCGCGGCGGCAGCCGGGAGGAGGGCGGCGTTTTCCTGCGCGGCGCCGCTGCCGTCGCCCCGCCGCCGGCGAGCGTCAGGCGGGGGGGAGGCTCCGGGCCGGCCCGGCCCTTCCCCTGGCCCCCGCGCCCCGAGGATGGCAGCGCTGCCCGCACGAGTGGCTGGCGGCGGGGTCCCTCCTCCTTTTTTTTCCGGCAGCGGCGGCGGCGGCAGCGGCGGCGGATCATTGTTGTGTGGGAGGAGGGCGGCGGGGATGGACTTGATCTCTCGGGTCTCCTGCTAAGGCGGCCGCACAACGCACCCCGCCGCCCAGACAGCATCCGCCAGGGCCGAGCCGAGCCTCGCTGGGCAGGGAGGGACTGGCCCCCGCCCGCTACCCCGGCGGCTTTATTTTGGGGGGCTCTGCTGCTCCTCTCCCTCGCCCTTATTTCCCCCAGCGCTCCCCCGCTCGCACACACGCACAGGGACACGCACGCACCCTCCTCCTTTGCCCTTTCATCCTTCCCCCCCCCGCACCGCCGTCCTCCCGCGCCGTCTCCTGCCGTGGCAGATGCGCTGGGGGTCACCGCGCAGCTGGGACTATGGTGAAATTTCCAGCGCTCACTAACTACTGGCCCCTGATCCGGTTCCTCGTCCCTCTCGGCATCACCAACATCGCCATCGACTTCGGGGAGCAGGTAAGGACACCCTCACTCACCCGCCTGCCCTTCCGCAAGGGCCGAGCCGGCCGGGCTCGGCGCCTCCGCCGGGGAGGGAAGGGAAGGAGAGCAGGGCTGTGCCGGGCCGGGCCCCGCCGTCCTAACCCGGCGCATCGCGGCTGATCTCACGGGCTTCCCGCATCCCCGCCCGGTGCACGGGAGAGACGGCGGGTCTGGGTGGTTGGATGCTCTTTTAGTTTGTTTCTTTTTTTTCTCCCCCTTGTATTTCAGGATTATATAATCTGAAATTACATCATGCGTTCGCCGGGTCTGGTTCTGGTCTGTGCCCCGCGCTCACACTGCAGCTCAGGTGCAGCAGCCCCTAGCGCAGCGCCGCGCAGCCCGGGAACCGGCGTTGCTAGAGGAGAATGGGGGGAAACCGAGGGGCTCCGCGTTCCCCCCGCCCAGCCCCGCGCTGCCGGTGCCGGTGCCGCAGCGGCTCGTCCCTCCCCACCCCGCCGCCGGCAGCCCCCGCCGCGGCATCCCGGGAGGAGGGCGGCAGCCGCTCCCTATCCCCTTCGGTCAGGGAGCGGCTTCCCGGCGGGGCTCAGGACAGGTGAGGCTCTAGCTGAGAGCCTTCCTCCGCCGGTGTGCTGTGAGTCGGGAGTCCGCGGTGATGGGCGCAGGGCAGAAGCCTGGAAGGGTTGGGGCACAGCAAAGGGAGCTGCTGTCCCCGTACTTCAGCCCTGCTGAAATTCTCTAGCGGCGTTGGTGACCTGAGGCTGTCACCTGCCAAGGGAGCAAGGAAATATCCTGACTTACCCTGCCTTAACATCAGACCCCCTTACGTGCAGCCCTCCTGCTTCAGCCTCTTCATCCCCTTTTGGTGCGTTTGCACAGAAAACATGCTTTGTTCTTGACATACCCGTTCCTCCTTTCCCTAAGCTCTACAGGCAGGGTGCTTGTTTGCCACAGCACTGTGGTACGGGGAAATCTCTGCTCTCTTGTTTCAGTATTTATGACAGGTAAGGTCCCAGCTGCACTGGAGAAAGCCTGTCATTACAGTTTTAGTAGGACAGTATAATACTTATGAGTGTTAAGCTGGGCACCCACAGTAAGTATCGTATCCCAAATAGCTTTTATCCTTGTCCTAAGTCACTTGGTTTTGCTGAGATTGTTTTCTAAGCAGACTAGACACTTGCTCCTATGCTCCTTGAGCAAACATACTAGAAAATTAGTAGTACTTTCTCCCATTTTTAAAGGAGAAAGTGAAAGGAAAAATATTACAGTGGGAAAAAATAGCTAATATTAATCACATGTTTGTCAGGGCTGTGTTAATCTCATTTTGCCTCTTAGTCCTTTAAATTTAAATAAGCCATGATACTAAAAAATGCAATTCCATCCTTGTCTAGCAACTGTGTACTTTCCTACTAAGTCAGTCTTCTATAAATCATATTCAGAAGTGAGGGGGAGGTAAAACTAAAGATAGAAATGACAAGGGAGAAGGTGATTTAAATGCTAATAACTGTGCCATCTTAATAACATGTAGCAGAAGTTAAATTGAAAGCACTTCACTCAGCAAACTGAATATGACAGGTGTATGTATGCCATTTGCTTCATACAAGGTCAGCTTGAGGCAAAAATCCGTGTCAGCCCATGAAAAACATCCTCCTGGATTCAGTGTGCTCTGGACCAGGATTTAAAAAATGAGCAAGCAAGAGGTTCCAGTTTTGTAAGTGAGGGGCCTTGTAGCTGGCTGGGTACCAGTGACACGGAGGGATGTTAACATGTGGATGATGAATGAAAGCACTTTCCTAAGCAACTTTGATGACATTAGGGACAAAATATCTCAGAAAATGTATTTTATCTGATAGCCGAGTCAGGATTGATCCTCTGGGAGAGCTGGTGTTATTCCCTGTCTCAGATGGCAGCCTAGGGAGGTGCTTAATTGAAAAGGGAAAAATCTGGCAAGCAGCATGACTCCTGCAGAGAACCCCATCTCAGGAGTGGGACCTGAAAAGATGCTTTTTGTACCAGCCTAGTGGGAGACTTAAATACGTGGAAATCAGGAAACCAAGGCATGGACAAAATTACTCCAGGTCTGAAGAGATCCTCTTACAGGCAAAAGGACATGGATTGTATTTTTCTGTGCATAATGGAATGGAATAGTTGTTTACACTTGTAGGGCATTACAGTTGGACTTGTGTGGCTGAAAATATACTGACTTTATGAACCAGTCACCTTTCTGCTCTACAAGATTGTAATAATTTTAATGGCAGGGCTGAATGGAAGTGACATAGGAGAAGGGGTGTGCCAACAGATAACTTTGAAAACGCTGCCATACCTCCTCCTGTGAACATATGCTGCAGATAAAAAATATTTCTAAGAATGATAAGTAAACTTTGCACGAATCAGTATTACCCGCTTTGGACTATACTGTAAAAGAAACAAGAGGACTACAGGTCAGAAGTAAGAGATGGCTGTAAAAAAATCAGTGAGAGAATGGAGCTTGCTTGACCAGGGAAGAAGCGTTTAAGAAATGCTGTAAGTCATAAACCCTTGTGGTTTGTCGTATCTCAAGTTGAGATAGTATTTGGAAGCAGAGTGGTCAAAGCAGAACCTTTTCAACAAAACCTAATGCTATGAGGTATCTGAGACTGAAAAGCGAGAAACAAAGAGAACCTCACTTTTTTTTTTTTTTTACCTTTTTTTTGCCTTGAGAGGCTCCTTTAGGTGTTGAACAGTTTTATTCAGCAGCAAACATGATTAGGAAATTGCCAGATCCTTGGTATGGTACTGTCTCTAGATTTATTGATACTTCAAGGAAAATTTACAGTAACGCTAGAGAATATTTGTAGAGCATGGTTTGTGACTGTCACCATTGCCCCAGATGAGATGCTTGCTATAGCAATTCTGTTTAGTTTGTAGGAAGTGAAAAATGTTCAAGCAGTGCTCCTTGTAACTAACAAACTCAGCTCCTGCAGCCACTTCCAGAACCCTTATAGCCAGTGAAGAGCCTCCTGTTGACCCTTGGACCCTAATCCAATAATGCTTTAGGACAAAGCTATATTACAGAGTTACTCCAATCTAGTGAGCTAACCTCATCTGTTCACCTCTTAAAATCTTCTTAGACAATTATGATTCTTCCCCCACAAAAGGTAGTCCTGATACATGACCAGGTGAATTACCAAAAGATTAGGGGTATAAACAATTTCTAATCTATTTCCATGATTTCCTTCTGCAGTCCATTTCCCTTACAACTTATTTACAGTACTACATAGCTTTTATGAAACAAAATACTACGAAACTTTCTTGTTAAAATAAGGCCTTCAGGAAAATAGTCCCAAATATTTTGGCTGAATGGTCCTTCTCCACATCAGTATATGTCTGTATGTGTGTGTTTGTACATTATTTATTTACTCATCCCCTGGTATATGCATGCACACACAAATATGCACAACAGTGTCATTTTCATCCCAAGAGCTTAACACTTCTTCTGCCAGAAGAGAGAATCTCCCTTTCATTCTGCTGGATGGGAGCATTTGACTCTCAACATGTTACCTGAGATTCACAGTAATAAGTGTTCTATTTAGAGCTCAGCTGCTGGAGAGCAGAGTTGGCATTAAAAATCCCAGCTCCCGTGGAAAATGTTGTTGGATATATTTGGTTGGAAATCAATAAATAAACTGCACCCATGCAATTGATGGGAGCATGCGACACAACCTCAAACAACTTGCTAGCAAATAATACCACTGTTACCCCGTGCGTTAAAAATCTGTCACCACCCACATCAGTTTTCCTTTTAACACAGTTTCAGAGCCACTCACATATTGTGGTGGGCTGATTCAGTGTATGTGTACATTTCCATTGACATTGCTATAAGAGGGGCAAGCTGAGGTGTGCATTTAGTACACTAACTTTCTCAGAAGCACAGAATCTGACCTAGGCAGTGTTAAGTACAATTTGCAAATGCGGTTGATAACTCTCTGCTGCTCACAGGGTGGCAAAGGCCAGGCCAAGAGCAGTATTTTGAACTCGGTCCCTGTCTGCAGTAGTCCCTTAATTATCAACGGGAACAGTAGGAGGGGTTTTTTCCTTTCTAGCTATCATATAGCCAGCTCTAGATCATTAGTTTCAATTGCTGTCAGTAGCTGTTGGTTGAGCAGGTTTTTTGCCAGCATAACTGTTACGTATGCAGGCATCATGTTCATCAGCTTGCAGGTCCTTGGAAACTAAAACCAAGCAAAGTCCTCCTGCTGCTTTCTCCTGAGGTCACTCGGGTGCTCTGGTCCTGCACAGAAGTTGCCATACATTGTGCAAAGGGTAGTGGTTGGGATCAAACAGGCGAGCTGTAAAGGCTAAACGTTTTGGTTTCCAAATTATTTTGCAATAATTGCTTGAAAAGCAAACTGTTGATTTTTTTTTTTCATGTAGTTGAATAGGTTCTGTTTGTGTTTTGTTTTTTAAGTGTTGCCAGAAAAGGGGAACAAGTCATGAATAATGTATCAAAAAGTATTAGTGAGCTTATCATCTGCTCATGCTGTTTGCAAACCTAGCAGGGGGTTGAACATTTTTATTAATGCTTCATGAAGCTCATTTTTTGGGGTAAGTGTTATTATCTGGACATTCAGAACAAGCAATGGTAGAGTTCACATTCCCAGCTGTTCACCAGGGATTTGGGCCAAGTTGTGTAACCTTCCTGTGGCACAGTTCACCTGCCTTTGAAGTGTGCCTACACACCTACCTGTGTGTCACAGGGATGAAATTAAAATTCACGTGTCAGAAGCGCTCCAAGATGAAAGGTGGTGTATGAGTGCAAAGTGCGCCTGTTATTGATGTTGTGAGAGGTCAGAGACTTGCTTAAATCATGCAGGACTTTAGTGCTGTATAAACAAGAAACCTAACAAGGTCTCGCAACTGATGTGTTATTAACCACATTATTAGTAGGGTGTGCTGTTGGAAATGCCCTATTTGTTTTACATAAATGGGAACGACACTGGATTTTTAAATTAATTTAAGATGAAATTGCATTGAAGAAG